TTCTATTTTTTCAATTTTACCGTGCTCTAAAGTTTGACAAAATTGTCAACCTTAATAACATTACCAAAAAAACGAATTTTAAAACAATTTTTTTACTGTGACATATGAGTCATGCCTACTACACAATAATGTGATTATTTTCAAAATCGGTGATTTCGTGAAATTTTCTGGTTCCACTTGACGTGGCTTGACTCAATATAAATTATAAAATAAAAACAGTTCTATATTAATTAATATAACAATAATAATACAATACCAAATGGTGTGAAACACGTCAAATATTAATAGGCATTTTTTTAATTTTTAAAACTGCGTCCCCACTGCCTTTTATTTTTAAAAGTTAATAATTATAGATGGGATATAACTAGCTAATTATAACTTTAGGTGCATTGGAATAAAATCCGTTTTGAAAAATAGTATATACTATTTATATATATAAATTCTGTAACAAGTTTGGAATACTGCATATTCCGCTCGAGCAGTGTTGCCAGAGGTGGTATATTTGTAACTTTTTGGTACGTTTGGTAGTACAGGTACTACATTTGGTACATTTTCATGAAATTTTTGAATTTTGATATATTTTCAATATTTTGCCTATTTTCAATAAAGTTGCTGCTTTGTTTTTCTTACTTCGCGTTCACTTCCTAATATTTTCCGTTCCCGTTACCGGGCTATTGTGCAGCGGGCTTTAATTTTGGAAAAAAAACCGAAAAGCCCAAAAACGTATTTGTTTATAGCATTTAAATGAGAGGTACATTTCAGTGAAATTTGGTACATTTTAAAAGTCGTTTTGGTACTTTATCTTTCCAACCACTGGCAACACTGCGCTCGAGTGAAAAGTTTGTCACACGAGCCGAAGGCGTGTTTGACGGTTTCATGAAAGCGGAATATGAAATTCCAAACGTGTTTCAGACTATACTTTTTCTACGTTTCCAACAAATATCATGGAAAACTAATTTAATTGGGAGATGTTAGTATGTTGATTTTAGACAAAATCAAATTTAGTTAGTTACTTAGTTTCCATGTCAATAAGTGTGTCTGGCCTGTGTTGTGGGTTTAAGAAAACCATATCAGCCAAATACTTTGTGGAGTAAGTACTCCATGTTAAAATGTGTCCTAAAAATTTGGATTTGAGTCTATAATATAAATTAACATCATATGAGGCCTGTCATAGCAAAACCGACTATCTCCACTTTTGTTCAAAAATGAGATTTTTGGCGGAGACTATACTTCAACTAATTATCTATAAGATGATAAAGTTTATGTGCTGCAAAAAAAGCTAAATCCTGCCTAAAATCCTATTTGACATTTATTGCAAAGTCAACAATCTCCACTGATAGATTTTCAGCAAAGTATGCAACCATTAGAAATTAGTAATTTGTGTCACCTGATATCCTAACATTTGATGTTATAACGTATTTTAGAGATTTAATTTTGTGTTTTTTTTACTGGTACATACTGTTATGTTCTATTGCAGTAAATTGCACTTAAAAAATATATTTAAAATAGATTAATCTATGTTTTATTGTTTTAAGAATTATAAAAAAAGTTTTGTTTATTTTGTGCTATTATACCATAATAAGACGTAAAGGTTAAGCAAGAAAAGGCTGATAATGTCAAAACATTGCAAGCAAAACATTACGGGGCAAAGTGGAAAGGAGATGATGAGTTGTTGTACTATAAAAAAAATTTTGCACGAGGCAACCTGGTCCCAGATTTATGTAGTCCAGTTCAGAATTTTTCCACATTGATTAAATTAATTAAATTAAATTTTAATTTTAATTTTAAGGGAAAAAATACAATTATTTTTTTGTTTATTTTTCTAAATCTCCTTAAACGTTTACAACAAAATGAGCAATCTCCATCAATTAATATCAAAGTCAGCAATCTCCAATTTATAATTATAGATTTCACCTATACTATGCATCCTGGAGACCTTGTAGTTGGCTACTAGACTAACAACAACAATATTTCAATTTTATATATAAAAAAAATTACAAATCTAGAATTTAACATACCAAAATCAATTATCTCAATTTACTCAGTTTTAGTCTGACGGGATATTGTTGACTTTGCTCTGACAGGCCTCATATATAAAAAGGAAATTGTGGGATAACGACCAAAAAAGTCCAAAATTTTTGAGAAAGATGACATTTTAAGATTCATTAAAGACACCAGATGAAATTTACTTTTTAATAAAAAATGCCACTATTTTTGGGTTGGCTGGTGCTTGTAGGCGAAAAGAGCTCTCAAAGATAATGATTCATGATATAGAAAATAAAGAAAATATGGTAATCGTGAAAATTTCGGATAGTAAAAATTACACATCAAGAATCTTTGTGATATCTGATGAAATCAGTAATGGTCATTACTTACAACTGTTTCGAAAATATTCAAATTTGCGAAAACCAAATATAAAAGAAGAGCATGCACTACCCAATGTGTAGGAAGAATTAATACATTTGGTAAAATGCCTGCACAAATAGCTGCATATATAAAACTTAAAAATCCTGAGGAGTACATATAGGGGGCAAAACACCTCAAGTGTTCCCACCTAAAAATGATGTTTTCTCCGATTTTAACAAACCTTTGCCAAATCATTGTCCTATTGGACTACCTTAATTTTTCAAATGGGGGACAAAAAGGATTAGCGGGTTGCAGAGATACAGGGGCCTAAAAATTTATTTTTTTTCTCGTGCGCTTAAAAGACGTCGAAATATTCATGTATATAATATTTTTTTTTTAAATTGATAATCAACATATCATATAGCATTTTTTCCACGCTTTACGATAAAAATGGTCTCGAAAGCAAGAAAAAATTTTTGGTTATAAAAAAACGATTTTAAAAATATATTTGTTTTTTTCTCGAAATGCGACACATTTGATTTTTTTAAAATTAATATCAAAAGAAAGCTTTTTCAATTCCCTAAATTTTGATGTAATATGAAGATGGGATCCCAAGAATAAGTCGAAAAAAATAAGGGTTGAAGCGCGTAGGGACCGTGCGGCGAGCAGCTACTATAGTATATGTTAGTTTACCAAAACCCCTAGTTACAAGTTGTAACTTACAACATTGCAAAAACAAGTACAACTTTAAAAATCTTATGCAATTTGAAACAGATTTTGGTATTTCAGCCGAGTGACACTTTAATGCAACAGCACTCGGTAAAGGCCTCTGTGATGGCATTGGTGGGAATTTAAAAAGACTCGCTGCCCGCGCAAGTTTGTAGTCAAAATCAAAAAATCCAAATCTAGATGCCAAAGATTTGTATGAATAGGCTCAAAAAAGTTTGCCAGAAACAAAAGTATTTTTCAGTCCTGAAAAAAATCATATGAAAAGAAATTCTTAAAAAGCGATTTGATTCTGCAAAATCAATTCTTTGGACACAGAAATATCACTTATTTGTTACTATCGGAAAAGGAATTTTGTACTAAAATATCGTTTGCTAACGAATATGATATTTTTCCCAAAAATAAAAAATAGGTAAAATGTTCAATAAAAAGTTTACATGAAAAATGTTTATTATTATTGTGAGACACTTGCAATTGCATTAAATAGTAGAACTTATTTACATTTACGTGCACGTGTAATTTATTCAGAGTAAGAGCAACTTATTACTTTCTACATTTTTTTTTCGACTACAAAAACCAAAACATGGGTTTTAATTGCTATTAATTTAAACTATTGCAATAAAATCAATGAGTTTAAGGCAAAACGACACAAGCGCCAAAATTTTTAAATTTGTTAGAAGTACATGTACTAGCAGGTCGAGAGAGAATTAAATTCTCTATCGACCTTCTTCTAAAAAAAAAAAAATTTGGCGCTTGTGCTGTTTTGACTTAAACCCATCGAAAAATACATTTATTTCCATATAAAAATAATTGTAAAAGTTGTATTGACCCTCTCCAATTAATCCACTAAGTAGTAGACCGAGCACCGCTGCATTAGGTATACTATAGTAGCTGCTCGCCGCACGGTCCCTACGCGCTTCAACCCTTATTTTTTTCGACTTATTCTTGGGATCCCATCTTCATATTATATCAAAATTTAGGGAATTGAAAAAGCTTTTTTTTGATATTAATTTAAAAAAAATCAAATGTGTCGCATTTCGAGAAAAAAACAAATATATTTTTAAAATCGTTTTTTTATAACCATTTTTTCTCGCTTTCGAGACCATTTTTATCGTAAAGCGTGGAAAAAATGCTATACGATATGTTGATTATCAATTTAAAAAAAAATATTATATACATGAATATTTCGACGTCTTTTAAGCGCACGAGAAAAAATATAAATTTTCAGGCCCCTGTATCTCTGCAACCAGCTAATCCTGTTTGCCCCCCATTTGGAAAATTAAGGTAGTCCAATAGGACAATTATTTGACAAAGTTTTGTTAAAATCGGAGACATCATTTTTAGGTGGGAACACTTGAGGTGTTTTGCCCCATAGGTCATAGTTTTCGTAGATCCTCCGCTACCATACGGCCATTCCAAGACCATGGACAGGACACATCAGAAACATGTCTAAATATATTCTTGTTACTTCCTTAAGTTTACTTATTTTTTCTACCAGTATTTATGAGAAGTATTAGCCAAATTTGGGTAATACTTCTCATAAATACTCGTAGAAAAAATAAGTAAACTTAAGGAAGTAACAAGAATATATTTAGACATGTTTCTGATGTGTCCTGTCCATGGGCTTGGAATGGCCGCATACTAGCCAATTCTGGGGAAGGAATTTCCAATGTTAATAGTTAATAATTTGCATTTTTATCCATTTCAAGAAAAACACAAAATCGTTAAGTTAACCTTATTGCTGCGATAAATTTACGAAACGCACAAGTCTATGAGAAAATACATTTAAGGACATATCAACATATCTCAAATAATGAAAAGATCAAATTGACTGGAGTGTTAATATAATTAAAATTATTATCAATTCATTAATTATAATAAAAACAAAAATATTTAATAATTTTTAAAAATCACAAATTAATACTTACTGAAAACTATGCGATGACAATGTAGCGTTTGCTGCTAAACAATGCGAATGACCGGCGCAACATTGTTCAATCCTTGTCAGATATGCAGCATCGTTTTGGACGTGTGGTTCTTCCAACAACGACAATATGCCGTGATTATCGTGCTCTAACAATTGACATATAGGTCTAAAAAACAAATGATGTGTTTAACGATTTCATCATCGCTACAACATGATTTTCTAAATACACTGCGCGTCAAAATTAACGTATAACAAGTAAAAAAAATCCAACTCTAAAACGCCTTTACCAATCTTTATAAAATTTTGGATACAAATACATTAACTAGTTTACGTGTTCAAGGGTTTTTCGAGAAAATATTCTTAAAACCCTTTTAATAAATAATAAAAAAATCTAGAAAAAAAACTTTTATAGGGAAATTTTTTTTTAAGTAAATTAAAAATATGCTGTGAAAGATCGTATTTTTGTTAGTATACCCTGAAAATGTTCAGCAAAATAATCAAAAAGGGGGAATTTTTACCGACTTTGAAGCGCTGTATCTTCGTTACTGTTTGAACGAAAATCGGTACTGTTATGCGGACATTCCACTACCGCCATATTAGATTTATTTGCCGCCATTAATTTAAATTACCCAAAATAGTAATTCTTTTAAAGAAACTGCAAATGTTTTTTTTAAACATTATAAGATTTGACAAAAATCTTTTTATAAATTATTATTTAGGAAATAAAAATAGTTATATTTAGTTTTAAAGTAAGTAAAGTAAATTTAGAAAACACAGATATTTCAGAAACTGTGAAAAAGTGACTGGTCCGGTCTGGAACAGTATATTTATTATATTATGTATGTTATCATAACAAAATACTGTTTAATTTTCTCCGAAAACTATATAAACAAAATGAGGTCAAAAGTTGCCCAACTTTTGTTGAATCACCCATATAACATTAATTACATAACACCCTGTATATTCACTTTTGACTGCTAAAGCTTAATAATTATTATGAATTATATACAGTGCTTGCAAATCCAAGTCCGACCGCACTGGAAAGGAAGGCTGTTCAATACCCGCGTGAAAAGAACAAGGATAGAACGCCAAATAGGATTTGATTGGCCAGAGCCGGCAGGCTACGACAACGCATACCCATCGCGCACCTCGCAGCGTGCTTGACACGAGGATATCAGAACGAGAACTGCAGTGGTGCCAGGGCTGCGACAGGGAAACGAGCAATTCCCTGCCGATGCATTCCGCCGCATGGAATTTTGCGAGGTTGTTATGAAGAGAGCAAATGCCGACCCAAATTTTATCGGTAATATTTTATTTACTGACGAGTCGCAATTTACTCTCCATGGCAGGCACAATTCGCAGAATGTTCGAATGTGGGCGCGAGAAAATCCTCGTAGGATTTATGCAGCTCGGACACAGTATCCCCAATAACCTAATGTCTGGGCGGGTATTTTGGGCGACCGAATAATTGGCCCATTTTTTATAAATGGGAATTTAAATGGCGCTAGGTATTTAAATCTCTTAAGAGACCAAATAGTTTCCGCGCTTCAAAATTTAGACGGAGTTAACATCGAAAACCTATGGTTTCAGCAGGACGGTTGCCCCGCACATAATACGAAGGCTGTTCGGGAATTCCTTTCCGACACTTTTGGACCTCGTCTTATTATGGGTCGAGGAAGAATTCTCTGGCCAGCTAGATCACCGGACTTGGCGCCGTGTGATTTTTTTGTGGGGGTACCTCAAGTCGAAGCTGTACGTTTTCCAGGAAGATCGGGCTAATAACCTCAATGATTTAGGAATCCGCATAACTAATTTGTTGGGGGATATTAAATTTTATAATAGGTTAGGCTATTCTGCCCTACTATGGAAAAAGGCAGTAACTGCAAAAAAATGCAAAAAGCGTTTTCTTGTGCTATGGTAAAGCTATGGACATTTTGTAACCGAATTCAACACAGAAATGCAGTCAAATATCTCATAAGTTAAGAAAATAAATTAAATACCTACTGCTTTTTATAAAAATGTAGTTTATGCTAATTTTCCACAAATTTCTTGTTTAGCAGTTACTGCCTTTCTCCATAGTAGGGCAGTATTGTTTGGCTGCCTATGGGGCTTGTTCGAACATTTAATTTAATTTTTGAGTTTATTTATTTTTATTATTTATTTTTAGTTATTTTTATTCAGAATTATGTTTTATTTGAGAAATCTTTTTTATTAAGAGTACTATTTTTGTTGTTGCCCTAGTTCTCAAGGAAAAAATCAAACAATTTTATTTTTAGGATTCGGGTATAAAATATTTAAAAAGAAAATTAAAATGTGCATCTACACTCTAACGCAGTTTGCTTAACACTAAATCATTTAGTCTAAATGCAGCCAGACTGGCTGCCAGAGTTGACCTCGCTTACAATTCGCACGCATCCGGCTCTGGCCAATCAAATTCTATTTGGCGTTCTATCCTTGTTCTTTTCACGCGGGTATTGAACAGCCGTCCTTTCCAGCGCGGTCGGACTTGATATTGCAAGCACTGTATTTACTTACATGTTATTAAAAAACTCGACTTTCGTCCATTCAAGGCCCTCCTTCACGATTTCCTCTTGTTCTTCTTTCAATGTGGCCGCCAGAATAAACTGGTTTAACTTTTCGTTGCAATAGTTGATCATCAGTTGCTCGAATCCGTTTTGATCGAACACCTCGAACCCGTACAGATCAAGCACGCCGAGAACTTTCTTCTTACCCAGCGTTTTCGCCTTGATCACGTCGTTGATTTTGTAGATGAGCCACGTAAACAAACGGCTGTATAACGTTTTGCAGACGACGTCCCTCACTTTATAAAAAAAAGTTTAATAAAAACAAAAATCCGCAGAATATTTAGTTACAGTGCCTGGCCAATTTATTAGACCAACTCACACATTGTCTTTAATTTTGTGAATTTGTTAAATATTATTTAATAAATAGTCAATATATATAAAACACCCAATAGTTGGCAGGTACCCAGTTATTGGCAACGAGGAAAAATAAATCATTTTATAAGCAAATTTCCATATTAAGTTTTATACGTACTTACATTTTTATAACCAGGGGCAACAGCACCATCCCTTGAATGTCAATCAGGTTTGACATTACTCAATGTTTTAATGTAAACGTTATCGAAAAATTGCCCACCTTTCGCGCGGCAAAAAATCGCCATTTTGGTAGTAATTGGTAAATTTTAAATACTTATTTTTTGCCTTAATAATGCATGTTAATAAAAGTTAAACAATTTTTTATATATTTAGAGTCATTATACAAAATTTTAACAATTTTTTATTTAATTATTTTACTTTTAAAAGTGAATTTTCAATATGCCCACTACTGGGTATCATATTTTAGTGCAAACCAATTATTGGCATTACTGCCAATAACTAAATTACTTGAAATTTGACCGGTACCAATTATTGGCGATTGATTATTTTTTACCAAATATTGAAAAAGAAAATAGCTAATACAAAAATAAGAAATCATATAAACAAAAATCAACCGACATTTTTTCTTCAACTGAACCAAGTAGCAAATCAGGCCTTCCTATCAATAATGTGATATGCAACAAAGGACTTTGTGTCTCATGTACCAAAAATTTCTCTTTGTTAAATTATGGCATACGGTGTCAGACTTGTACAAAATCATACCATGAAAAGTGTTTAAAAAAACATGGTACCTACAAAGAATTTTATAAATGCAAAGTTTGCAAGGCTTTGGAGGCGTTTAAAATTAACAATATTTTATCTTGGTTTGTTAGGATTAATTGCCTATTTTGTATCATTTTAGAACCACTTTCTTAGTTTTTTCGTTTATTTATTTTGTACATAACTTAGCTAATCAAAAAAATAAAGAATCAATTTATATTTTACTTAAACCTTTTATAAAAAAAAAAATTCGTAATTAAAAAATAGAATTTGGAAAATGGTTAATAGTTGGATCCAGTTACATGCCAATGACTAGGATAAGCGTCAATTACTGCATTTTATCTTTTGCCAAACACTGGGACTTGATGCCAATAATACGTTAAGTTATAATGCCAATGACTAGAGATATCTGCCAATGACTGGAAAAGTTACATAAAATAAAAAAAAATATTTTTTTTTTACTTATAAAACTTATTTTTTGAGTTATGTTTTGTTTGAAAACTATAAAAGAATCTTTAAAGACTTTCCATTTAAAGGGATAATTAGGTTGCTTTACTTTTAGTTACATAAAAACTACAAATATTCTGATAAGCTGCTTAAGGTGCCAATAACTGGGTGTTTTACCCTATTCTTAGGAAAATGCGTTTTTAAACTACGAAAATTATTATATAAATAGAATCGCATTTTACGATAAAATTGTATGCATGATTATAACGTAATATGCATCTAAACTTGCCATCAAAGATTTATTGCGAAAATTAGTATAAAAGCCCAAAAAGTATTGTAGTTATTTGAACAGGGCACCCACGGATAAATTACACATTTTATTTAGGAATTTAGGTTTTTTGGAGAATATTAGGAGAAATAAAGTATTCAAATGAATTTATGTAATTAAATAAAAATAACAAAAAAATAAATAATTATTTTTAACAAAAATATAAATAAATATCACTCATTTTGTACGAATAGGTTACATTGACCAGTTTTTAAAATTAAAAGTGAGGTAAAATTAATACTTTTGTATATATCTGAGGTATATACACAAGTAGAAATTTCACAATTTTAAATTTATTAAAAAAACGCGTCGATAGATGTGGCTAAAAAACTGTTTAGTTAATAACAAACAATAATTGTAATGTGGATCTTGTTACTCAAAAATCTCATAATAGAAAAAAAAAGTTTCCATAATACAGTAAAACATTCTTTAGATTGTTTACTATTTAAAATCCTTTTGTTTGATTATAACACGGTATATTTTTGTCGAAAACAAACTAAATATGGCTAAAAATGACAATTTTGTAGAAGTCTATGACCTACTACATGGATTTTGTTTTTAGGTATATTTTGTTATTTTTTAAGAAAAATATAGGTTGTGATATATCATTTTAAAAAGAATTTAATAAACTAGAACCTAATATATACGAGGTGTGTTCAGAAAATATCGGGAATTTTCGTTTTTTGAAACAAATATTTATTTATTCGTATACATTAATGTTGTCGCCTTTAAAATAGTCCCCATTGGATATTATGCACATGTGCCAGCTCTTCTTCCAATACTCGAAACACTTCTAAAACTCGATCTTTGGGATAGCCTTTAGTTCTTTCAGCGATGCGCTTTAACAGGGTTCCCTCTTTTAAAACCATTTAAAATTCCCTGACTTTTCCAGGTTATCCCTGACCAAAGTCCCTATAATTCCAGATAAATAAAAGAAAGACATAAAGACAATTATCTCCCAAAATAGTGTCCCATCAGAATTATGTTAAGTCAAAAATAGCGTTTATTTTTGTTAATATTTATTTAAAAATTAAATATTATAATAAAAATTAAAATAAAATTTTAATAAAAACTGTTTAACATAAAATAGATTATTTGGTACAAACATAAAAAACATTCTTTGGTATACATTTATAGAAATATACCATATTCATCAAAGCAATGCACAACAAACTTTAACAATTTAAAATTAATTATGACAATTGTTTTAATTATTGTTAATTGGTAGTTTGTTTATCAGGTGCATTGCTTTGCGATTTTTTAGTGTGTAAAATTTTTTTGTGTAAAATCCTTGATAATTACCGCCGTTACGGCGGCGCCGTACGAAAACAATTGTTGCCAATACGGCGACTTTCAACGAAAAAGGGTCAGAAAACAAGCCGTTTTATAAATTTCCCTGACTTTTACCATAATATTAACAAATTCCCTGACTTTTGCGCTGACTTTCAAAATTCCCTGACTTTTCCCTGATTTTATTGGACTTAAACGGATTCCCTGACTATTCCAGGTTTTCAAGGATTTCCAGGTGAGAGGGAACCATGTTTAAGGTTTTCTTTATTTTTGGGAATAGGAAAAAGTCAGACAGAGGCATGTCTGGCGAATATGGAGGCTGGGGCATCATTACAGTATTGTTTTTGGCCAAAAATGTTGTTCAAAATTTAACAATTTTAGAACAAATTTTGCTGCCACGCGTTTCATTCCCAAAACATTCGAAAAAATTTCATGGGAAGAGCCAATCGATATACCAACATCATCAGCGACTTCTCTGATGGTTTATAACCATTTCTTCCACTTTTTACATGTTTTTATCGGTTGTTAATGTGATTGTGCGTTCGGGGCGTTCGTAATCTTCAACGTCTTCACGGCCATCTTGGAAACCCTTTTACCACTTGTAAACTCTTGTTTTACTTATAGCAGAGTCACTATAGGCCTTTGTTAACATTTCACAGAATTTATTTCATTTTTTAAGCAAAATTGGATACAAATTCTTTGATCCATTTCTTTTAACGAACGAAAAATCGCCGAACTCATAAAACACGTCTAACCTTAGCGGCTGCCAAAGACAAAGTAAACAATGAAAACAGCTAAAGTTTTTATCATACTTCAGGGGCATGTATACCAACATAATAAACCGGACCCTCCGAACCCGCGAAATTTAACAATTATAGTTATTTTCTGAACACACACACACACATATATATATATATATATATATTTAAATTACTTTTTAAAAAAGAATTTTTTTAGCACAACTACCTTAATTAAACGCAGTCAGGTTGGCCTATTTATATTAAATTTTTAGGAGTTTTAGGAGATTGACGGCAATTTTAGGAGAATTTTAGGAATTTTATGAGTTTTAGGTGTGGGAGCCCTGTTTGAATAACAATATATTTTTATTTCAATTTTACCTAAAAAATGTGTTTTATTATCCTAAAAAATATTTTGATATCTATTGCAAAGTCCCGACCGTTACGCTTCAAATTATTAGTTTTTAAGGAATTAAAGAGTCAACCACGATACCTAATTTTGCCAAATAAAAACCTTGTTAAACAGCTTTAGTTTAGAACTATTTATAAAAATTTGACATTGGTAATATAATAGAACAATATTATTTTGTAAATAAAAACACGGCAACTGTAGTATCCGTTACGCGTGGAATGGCTCTGATATATTTAAAATATTAATATTCCAAAATATAAAAAACAAAATACAGGGTGAGTTTTAAGTTGACGCGTTCCTTTTAACAGCGTGTAGAAAACAGATAAACAAATAAATACTTTAAGTAACTTTTTTATCAAAACTTAAAAAGAGAGTTATAGGCCTTCCAAGTTTAATTAAATTTTGAGCCGGTCCTGGCTATTGTTAACAAAAAACATAAACATAAAAATAAAATAACAAAATAAACAATGCAAAATGTCATCTATGACAACAAACATAACCATTTAAATCAAAATAACATTTAGCAATGAAAATGTCAGTTTTTTTGTGCCTCAATTATTGTTAAAAATGGTTCATAATTATAGCAATAATAAATTAGTGGAAATGTTACTAATTTATGGAGAGTGTCGTCAAAATGCAAATGCTGCAACTTAAGTAAATAATGACATTTTTTATTGCAAAAGGTCAATTTGATTGAAATGATTAGGTTTGTTGTCAAATATGACATTTTGCATTGTTTATTTTGATATTTTTATGGTTATGTTTTTCGTTAACAATAGCCAGGACCGGCTTAAAATTTAATTAAACTTTGATGGGCTATAACTTTTTTATTTTTGAGTTTTGATAAAAAAGTTACTTAAAATATTTATTTGTCTAGCTGATTTCTACACACTGTTAAAAGGAACGCGTCAACTTAAAACTCACCCTGTATGTAAAGATATGATTTTTTACCTTTTGCCGCATCAACTGCGCTTAGGTCCGTTAGAATGCCGTCCTCTATTTGACGGCTTGTTAAGGCTCTTTGTAACCATCGTGGTTCTGCACCCAGTAACTCACATATTTCAAATAATTCTATAAAATAATACACATTAGATATACTTAACTATATTTTAACACTTTTTAAAGTTATATATCCTTTTGTCGCTTTGAAAGCAGGCAACGGAAGTTGCGCAACCTTCTTAACCTGAGTATTAAATGACAGCGTTTAACTGGGTGAAACATTTTCAGAATTAAAAAATTTTCTAATATTATTAAAATTGTAGATAAATTAATTTACAAAATATATTAATTTTGGATAGTACAAAAGGAAAAGCACTTCCCTGCCTATTAATTTATTATAAAAACCTACTAGTTTCGCCTGTAAGGCATCTTCATGATGTCTATAAAAATATTAACTTAGTGTCATAGACATTACAATATTAAAATAAACTTACATGTCAATGTTAAAATATAAAATTATATAGAGAAGACCACAATCCACACAACTGTTCGATCTCGTAGTAAAAATACTAAAAATCACTGCAACACTGCACATCATACGATGGCGGCCATTTTTGTTGTTTACAATTCTTATGCTTTGGGTTTGTACAGATTAATAATCGTTTTAAACGAGAGACTTGCAAGCCTTAAAAGAGACCTTAAAGTGGTAAGAACAATCATTTTACTCCTCTTTTGTAAAAAATAAACCTTATTCTATCAGGGCTGTCAAATGCCAATTTAAAGGTTAATTTGTGGGTTATAAAATAACCTTAAAATTGACATTTGACAGTTTGATGACAGCCTTGATAAAATAAGGTTTATTTTTTACAAAAGAGGAGTAAAATGATTGTTCTTACCACTTTGAGGTCTCTTTTAAGGCTTGCAAGTCTCTCTGTAAGAAACACAACGTTTAAAACGATTATTAATCTGTACAAACCCAAAGCACAAGAATTGTAAACAACAAAAATGGCCGCCATCGTATGATGTGCAGTGATGCAGTGATTTTTAGTATTTTTACTATGAGATCGAACAGACCTTGTTGTGTGGATTGTGGAGAAGACATCACAGGTTTAAAAAACGTATTTTAACAAATAATACTTTAAAATAGAGATGGGAATCGGAAAGTTTTCATTTTAAGGAAAGTTTCCATTTTGGAAATTTTCCTGTCAAGAATTTATTTTCATTTTGAAAGTTTCTTTTAAAGTTACCAGAAACATTCCCGGAAACTATCCTTGTTTTTTTATGTAAATGTTAATTGTTTAACAGCTGATTAGTGAAGTTAAGGCCAAGAAACTGAATAAAGCTTAATTTTCATGTATACGTTTGTCCGTTTTTCAATAAAATCGTCCGACAAGAAATGTTCTAATTTTCATGCATACGTTTTACCTAATGCTTAATTGCCATAGTTACAATTATGTCAACAATTGTAACTTTAACAGTTATAACTAAGCTGTCTAATAAATTTAAAGGTAGGTAAATATACCATATAAAAAGAATATACTAGCCTTAATATTCATTAAAATGTATAGTTTTAAGAAAGCAGGTCCTTTTAGTTCTGGTTTTAATATTTTTTTGTTTGTCTTTTCTTTTTTCCCGTTATTCTTATTAACAAAACAGTAGAACACGTCAAAAACAGATGTGTAGTGACGGATGAGTTAAAATTATTTTATCTACGCCAGTGAGATAAGAACTTCTTATCCCACTCATTTTGAGTGAGATAAGAAGTTCATTAACGCACGCGTTTTTCTCTGCTTTTAACCAATCAAATAAAAAAGTCAAAATGTCAAAATAACCCCAAATTAAGTCTTAGACAAAAATAATTACCGTTTATTTTTTCATTTAGAGGCGTAGATAAAAATTTGTACAATATACGTGTGACAACGCTTTATTAACGTACTTTTGCGATTACCCAACTCGTGCTACGCACTCGTTGGGCAAATTTCGCATGCGTACGTTAATAAAGCTCTTGTCCCACTTATATCGTAAATAACCATTAACTTTCTCCGTCAGACGTACGAAGTTGAAACTTGACGGACCGATAAAATGTCATAATTTTCGAATTATATTTGGACCAATAAAAGCGCTCCCGGATGATCGGGCAAACGGATACATGAAAATTAAGCTTAAGAAGTTAATTTGTTTTAATTTAAAGAAGTATGTTGAAGATCTCATCATCACAATTTATAAATCGTTTGTAAAAAACCCTTTGCATAAACTCCTTTTAAAGGGAAAACAAAATAAAAACAATAAACAAAATTAAAATCATTCTAACGTTTTTGTTGTTTACGTTTTTGTTGTTTACAATGCCAAGAGAATTTTTTTTGGAATTATTACAAAAAAGTGCATTAAGCAAGTTCTGTAAAAAATATTTGTCGTTAATGCAACCAAAATGGTCAAACATATATTATATTATATATCTTATATTATAAGATTATCTATGCAAAATTTTAAGTCTAATGAAAGTCAAAAAGAGAGTCCAATAGGTAACAATGGCAGTACTGGAAACATAAAAGAATTTGTTGATAACATGTCTCTTAACAAACTGAATAAATTGGAAGAACTATTTGCTCAAGAAATTTACTCTACCTCTTGGCCCTTCAGTTTAGTGGAAAACCCTCGATGTTGAAAAATTTTGTAAGCAACTACGTCCAAGTTTCAAGCTAACTGAAGAAAGAAATCAAGTAAAACATTGTTTAACTTTAAATCACAGATTATAAAGGTTAAATATGCTAGAATACAAAAGTTAAAGATAAAGTACAAGAAGCTGATAATATGACAATTATTTCAGATGGTTGGACAGATTTCAATAGGCCTAACCCGGGTTACACTAATAAATATAATTGTTGCAACTTCAGAGCCTGTATTTTTAAAAACTATACTTAGGCTCACTCAAAAATGTTGATTTTATTTTACCTGTAGTTTTTTTTCATATTATAGGTAGCTAATATTATTTATTTTTGCAATCCTCCTAGCACAAAAAACTCATTTCCGCAATAACATTTTTTTTATGAAACTTTCGCAAAGTTTCGGGAATTCTCGTCAAATGCGAATTTTCCAATCTCTACTTTGTCCTGTGGTGTATCAAATTATAGTATTTAAATTAGTTATATCTTCTTGTTGATGCATTTCACTTAATACGTGATGTCATCTCTATATAATTGTATATTTTATGTCACTATAGTAATATTTACTTATAAGTTAATATTACTTTAGAAAAAGTGAAGATACTTTACAGGCAAAACTAGTCATATTTAAAATAAATTAATAAGCAGGGAAGTGCTTTTTTTAATACTATCCAAAATTAAAATTAACAGACCACTGCATGGATTTGACAATTAAACATTAAAAAAATATATAAAACATGTTAAAATGTGTGGCAACATTTTAAAATATGTTTTAAGATTCTATATTGTTTTAACATTTTTTAAATGAATCTTTAAGTTGACATTCTTATAGCTTGACTAAAATTGGAATAAAATGAACTTAAAAATCTTGTACTTTTGCAAATATTCTTTGATGAATGTTCAATGTTTATTAAGAATTTTTAACAAAAAAATATTTAGTATACAGGGCTATTCATTAATACTGCAAAAAAAAATTAGGATGAGGTTGTTGCATAAAAGAAAGAAAAAAAACAAAAAGCTTTATTTCCTATCAGTGTTATTTTTTTAATAACTGATTTTTCATAATAATATTATATAAAAAACCGTCATTCCAATTTTCTTAGTATCTCATCCTAAATTGGATATATTGGATTTTGCTACTCATTAGTTTTTTTCTTAAACTTTCAATATTTTCTTTAATATAAAGACTCCAAAATAATATAAAATTCAATTAGCAAAAAAAGTAATAAATATCTAATATTGTGGTAAACACGTAAATAAACTTACTGGAAATTAAAGGTAAACACAAAGAAGTAAAAATAGAATAAAGAGCATACATATTTTCACAATGTAATAACAATAAATAATATACTATAATTTGTATTTAGTATAATACTTTTATAAAAGATAAATCTGTAAGGATTGTATAGGTATCTATTAATAAAGTATATTTTTATAAGTTTAAATACACAAACTAAAACTTCCCTAATTATTATTGTCTATTTGATCCCAATATTTAGTTCATGACTCGACTGCATTTCATGTGTTTAGTAAATTAACCCCAATTTATTGTATGTATTTATTTCAAATAATTTAAGGAAAGAATTGGCGATTTTAACTAAAAAGGCTTCCTTTTGAAAATGTACAACTTTCAAGGTTTCACTAAAAAAGGGTGTCTCACAGGCTAATAATTGCAACTTGTGTGTTTCCTTGTTTTAAAGTGGATAAAATAAAACAATGCTAACTTACCAAATTCATTATGTATGTTACATCCATCTGTACCATCTATGTTATTACAAGGCACAAACTGTATATTACCTAGCTTCAAAACAATTGCTATAACACGAAAAATATCTACTATATCGTTAACAGTAAATCCTAAAATTTCCAGCGCACTCTTTGTATAAATAAACAATCTTCTATCCTCCTCATCCGTCAATGTTGCTTGATTTTTTTCAGTTTGTAAAATTGTGTAAAGCTCAACATTACGTTGCAGCTTTAAACATTCTAAAATTTTAATAAATTTAGTATTTATGGGTCGAAAATGTTGAAAAACTTACTTAATAATTGAATATCAGCACCAGACAACAATTGATAAAATATATGAAAGTTTCTGTCACAAGAAGCCAATTTTGTAACTCTTGACTAGAAGAAAATGATTTAAAAGAAAATGGTATACAATTTATTAATATACTTTTAGTAATCATACCTTATCCAAAAAATCTGTTAGCATTAAATACAAAATATTTTATAATTTAGTGTTTTTAAATAGATAATAGAGTTGCCACTAGTTCAATTTAATTGAATATGTTTTTTTATTAATTCTCTACAAAGTCTTATATTTTTTTAAGAAGACAACTTTTTTTGTGATTAAGTTTAATAGTTTGAAAACACTATAACCAAGTGTGTTTCTTAAATTTTGCGACACTATAGATAGTAGACTGGGCCTATATCGAAAATATGGTTTGACAAAAAAAATTATTGTGAAAGTTTGAGTCGATAATATTAATATTAAGAGGTCTATCATCGCAATTTTAATTTTTTTTTCTGAGCCAGTTTTTGAAAAAAAATATTGTGAAAGTTTGAGTCGATAATATTAATATTAAGAGGTCTATCATCGCAATTTAATTTTTTTTTTTCCTGAGCGAGTTTTTGTCTCAGAACTCCCAAACCATTGATTTTAAGATAAATTTTTTTAAGGAAGTTAAATGCTCTACAAAAAAGGTTAAAATGAAATATTCCATCAGATGAACCGTTTCCTTAAAATCATGCCTTAAAAATTGGTATAGTTTTACATTTTAATCTTTTAACTTTGTAATTTTGTAATTCATGTAAAATCAGTACCTACCCAGAAAAAAACCAATGGATATTCTTATGAGAAATCAAATGCTTTACAAAAAAATCTCTTAACATTTTTGGCAAAATTTACTCAATCAAAAGTTATTCAAGGTTAAAGTTGAAGTCAAAACGAAATTCTTGTTTTTTCCTCTGTAGATTTATTTTTTACGGATGATACTTTGATTTTTTTCTTTATAAATGTGTATTATATAACTAATTAACAATTTTCAATAAAAAAAACATTATTGTTATTATTTAAACGATTTAATAGGTAACAGTGAAAGTAATATTTTCTAAAGAAAATAGCGAAAAAATTCAAATGTGTTTTTTTTTTAATTTTCAGTAATTTTATCAATAACATAAAGATTATCATCGACTATTTCCCTCGTCTTAATTTCCACCAATCACAAACGCGCAATTTTGAATTACAAATGGTTTCTAGGTGGAAAAACTGTGTGACAGCACCTGTCAGCAGTTTTTTAGAGTTTACCCGCGGCAAAACTTGACAGCTGTTGTCACCAAAAATTGCAATTTATATTTTAATTGTTAACTGTTACTCATGAAATAGTCTTGTCAAATACCATTCGGGCATCTAATTTTTCCTGTGAAAAAAATCGAAAAAACACAATGCTAAGTAATATTTTCGAGCAAAATGCATTCGTGCAGGTGCAAAAATCCTCCTCTTCGACTCGGATTTTTGTTGCCACCAGCACTCATGCTTCTTGTTAAAATATTACTTAGCAACGTGTTTTTTCGATTTATTCGGAAAAATTAGATGCCCTTATGATATTACTTACGATAAAAGAATTCAAGTTGTTTAATGACCCTAAAAATTTTGATGGAATGAATTTAGCCAAAAATGTTAGAAGACTTTTTTTGTAGAGCATTTGATTTCCCATAAGAATATCTATCGGTTTTTTTCTGGGTACTGATTTTTACATGAATTACAAAATTCCAAAGTTAAAAGATCAAATTGAAAAACTATACCAATGTTTAAGGCATGATTGTAAGAAAACGGTTCATATGACGGGAAATTCCCACCAAACCTTTTTTGTAGAGCATTCAATTTTCTTTAAAAAATATTTTTAAGTCAATTTTGTTAAACTCAATGGTTTGCGAGTTCTGAGACAAAAACTCGCACAGGAAAAAAAATCTAAAATAGCGATGATAGACCTCTTAATATTAATATTATTACTTTCACCATAATTTTTTTTGTCACCCGAAACAATATTTTTGATATACTTTACAAAAAAAATAGTCGATTTTTTTGGCCAAGTCTAATAGATAGTATACTTTCTATAGAATTACTAGTTATAAACCAATCGCGTCCTTCACTGCACACTACTTTGTGAGAGACAATGCAGTGCTTTGATTGGTTTATTGCCTTCGATAAAATCATTTTTTAAGAAAGTAAGGTCCTGGGGTTTACCTAATTTACAAAATGATATGTCAATAAACTTTTTATTACTGCTAGGTATATAAATTTTCAAAACAACACACAAGGTATAGAAAATAAAGCAGCTTAAAAAATTATTTAAAGTAAAATTTAATTTCTAAATAAATAAAAAATAACACATTTATTAAAAATTAATTTAGTTAACAAAATTTAAAGACCTTGGAAATAAAAACTACCTACACATACAATTTTATTTAAATTTTATATTAATATTTTTAAATTCAGAGTAAGAAAAATTGCTTTAATTTGGTATAAAAATCTTATAATAAAAACATATTTTTTTAAAAAGGTGGTAAAAATTTTAAATAAAAAAATACTCACAATTTGTCAAGTGTCCTCCAATAGGATCCCCTTTAAAATCAAATTCAATATCCAAAAATTTTCCCTAAAAATTCACCATAAAATCACACTAAATAAAAAACATTTAAAAACCTTACAAAACGTGAAGCATTGTCATTTTTCATAGTACGTGCATTTCCAAATGATTCAAGTAATGTACTTGCTTGGACAAGTCGATCTTTAACAAGTTTAACTTCTGGACTGTTGCCAGAAACCAAAACTAAAAATTGTAACACTATACGAGCAGCTTCAGTTTTCCCAGAACCACTCTCCCCTATAAATCATTATTAAATTTTTTATTAATTTAATTAAAGGTTATTAAATACCTGTAACAACAATACATTGGTCCTCATTTCTATCATTGAGCCACCTATATGCCGAACCAGCAATAGCATATCTAAAAAACAATGTAAAAGTAGAGAAAATTCAAAGTAGCTCAACAAAAATCTAACATGTGTGGTGGCAGCTGGAATGGTCCTCTTTTAACATAAGTGGCAGCCAAATCAGTGGAGTAAAGAGCTAATTTTTTGTATGGATTTACGGAAACCAGCACATTGCCTATGTAAGTGTAAATATAATCTCGTTTAAAACGTTGTTGCAGGTTAGATATAAACGAGTCTTCGCTTAAAGGTTCAAGCAAAACAGAATCCCAAGCTCCTACTTCCTGGTCCAAATTGAGCATCGCACCAACCCTTAAACAATCGCCGCCTACGCGGCATCTAGTCTTCAAACCCCTTTTCACTTTGCCTCAAAAATCCTTCCAAAACATTAAAATATTTCTAAACTATTGCTTTTAAGGTTTACAATGTACTTAAGGTTGGTTGAATTCATTTTCTTTACTAATAAATTTACCAAAACGTTTTAAATTCAAAAAGTTACAAAATTTTCGATATCAAATTGACAATTGTTTGACGTTTCTAAAAAAAATCGATTGCCGTGAAGTTGGCTCACATCGAACTGTCATAACCCCTTCTTAACGAATACAGTGTTTCCAATAGACCGATAATTATTCGATTTGCGGGGAGTTCTAAAAGTTGCGTATACGTATTTTTTTGTTGGGACAGATAATATTGGACCAAAAACAAAATTGGAAAAATTTATGAAATTTTGTAATCATCTACAAATGTAAAGTAAAACATAATTTTAATGACTGGAATTATTTTCATGGGGGATAATTTTAATATATGACATTGGCAACACTGATCGAACGAGCATTTGACCTACTTTTGCACAGTGGGATCAAATTTGCAATATATTCCACAATGTGAAATTAATTTTATTTGTTATAAATATTATAATGAATTTATTTATAAACACAATTTAATAATTAATACCTACATACTTAATTTTATTACATTTTGCCGCGCACTTCAACACATATAATTTATTTCAAATGCTATTTATTATAAGTTGTTTTTTTCATTACATCTTAGGGGCAAATTAGACAAAAAATATGTAAAAAATACAGTAAAATTGTCATTTTAATGTTATATAACTTACATAAATATACATTTGGGATTTTACAAAATTAGATGGTAATTTTGTTATAGGTAGTTAAATATAAATATATTTTTATGGAATACATTCAAAACAACACTAATAAAATATATACACCATAAACTAATGCACAAGGATAGGCAATAAGAGGTTGCTGCTGTTTGTCTCCTGAAACAGCAATAAACAACCTGGAAGCTGAAAAACTAGACCATAAAACTATAACCGCAGCCAGAATAATACCTAACATGCCACTTAGCCTAAAAAATAACCCCAGAAATGATAACCCTACGACTGGGATCAAACAATAACCCAAAATGCTGGCTACAGTGCTTAACGTAAAAGTTCCACTTGTTGGTGTCATTAATGTGAGTAAAAAGTACATTAGTACACATGAAGTCATTGAAATACCGTAAATGTAGCCAAATTGGGCTTTGTTTTCTGACATAAATAGGCAAACAGCTAATAGTAGACAAAAAGATATTGGTCCTGCTAAATCAGCATCTTTTGTTAAATATTCTGCATCATCTGCTAAACTGTGTGCCCTTAAGGGGTTAAGCACTGCTAATACTTTTTCTAATATACGATCCGGGTATATTTCTAATTCTTCTAACAACGGTGGTTCATCAAACTCATTGGCACCTTTCGCTTCAGCTCCAAACTCTGGAGTGTAGATTTGAGGTGGAAAATTCGCGTAGGCGGTTGTATCAAAGTTTCCTGTTGCATTAAATTCTAAAACAGCAATTTATTTATAACAGAAAACCTCAAAATATTATTTTTTCTATGCATACCAAGTTCCTGATTTTGAAATTGGTTGTAATCCTGGTTGTAGTAGCCCTGGTTGGGGTCAGCCTGATCACCCTGCTGCCCCCAATAAAATTCTTGATTGTTCATCGTAAAATCACCCATATTTATTGTTGTGTTTCTTATTGTATGTTTTATTCATTAATTTTCAAACTGACATAAAATTTTGACACATGACGTGTAATGGCTGCGGTCCTCAACATGTTCTACAAAAGTTTGAGTTACAAGAACTACCTACTTTAAAAATAGATTTATTAAAATTTTTATAAACAATTTTACCATAAAAAAACCACCCCTTTACCAACGATCCTAGAAATATTCGTAAGTTAAGAAAATTAAGTGTGTAACCTGGGTGGCCTATTGTCATTTTTGTTTTTTCACAATAATTAACAAAATTTTCGTAGCTATATAGGTATATTCACATACTTAAAGAAGGTACTTTTGTGGAGGTATATCCACTTTCTTTGTTTAGTTTATACTATAAACAAAGTATATATACTGTGCTATAAACTTTATAGAGGATTTTCATAAGTCTGTAAAATGGGTTGCCTACGTTCATTTATTATTTTTGAAACAAAATAACGAAAATGCACTACAGGGGACATCCATTAATTACGTGTGATAAAAATGGGGATAATCTCACAAAATCTCATTTTAAGGGAGGGCGTCATTGAAAATCTCAAATCAAGTTTTGGGTTTAAAGAATATGTAATTTAATTTTGGGGTTTGTCATGTTGCAACTTGCAAATAAAGTTTCATAGCTAGAATATCCTTTTTGTATGGCTAGAATCTTACTACCCACCACATCTCACCAAGAGGTAGGGGACGGGTCCAAATATCAAAAAAATACCTTAATAAAATACACGCATAGTAATTAAAATGGTTAATTAATACGAATGGTGATACACGATAGCCCTTTTAAATTAAATAGGCCCTTAAATATTTTGTTGGAGGATTGCCATGGCAACATGCATGTTGCATAATTAAACATACCAAATTATCCTGTATACAGGATGTAGGTAAACAGGACATTTGTGCAAATGGGCTCTGAATAGACACTTTATGTAAAGCTTTTACCACTTTGCAATTTGATTAAAATAATAAAATTTAAAGTAAAGTGATGCCAGATTAGAAAATTATTCGCTATTTTTGAATCCCATGGGAATCCCATGCATGGGGATTAAATTTTAATTAAAAATAAAACTAATTGTGTAGGTAGGTATATCAGTTCGATTTTATTCTTCAAGTGTTGTACATCGCTCCATGAAAAAGTCTGAAAACTTTATTGGGAATATTCCATAGAATGATCCTCTAAAACTTCCAAACACCATCTAAGAACATTCCCAGCGAATATTCATAAATTTAGTTGCAATACCTCTCACCGTTGCTTACGCACGCTTATAACTATATATACAGATAGGTTAAAAATATCAGTTTGAGATTTTGGGAGTAATCCCCCAATTATATTAATGTACATTCTATTAACAATACTTAAGTCTTATGCATGCCGCTACATGGGATATTCTTTTTATGATGACTGGGTTAACCAAAAAGCGGACATATGGGAATATTCTGGTACGCTTGGAATAATCCTGGGAATATTCCTGACATACGAGGTGTATTCAGAAAATATCGGGAATTTTCGTTTTTTGAAACAAATATTTATTTATTCGTCTACATTAATGTTGTCGCCTTCAAAATAGTCCCCATTGGATATTATGCACATGTGCCAGCTCTTCTTCCAATACTCGAAACACTTCTAAAACTCGATCTTTGGGATAGCCTTTAGTTCTTTCAGCGATGCGCTTTTAATGTCATCTATGCTTGCAAAACGACGGCCCTTTAAGGTCTCTTTATTTTTGGGAATAGGAAAAAGTCAGACAGAGGCATGTCTGGCGAATATGGAGGCTGGGGCATCATTACAGTATTGTTTTTGACCAAAAATTTTGTTCAAAATTTAACAATTTTAGAACAAATTTTTCTGCCACGCGTTTCATACCCAAAACATTCAAAAAAATTTCATGGGATGAACCAATCGATATACCAACATCATCAGCGACTTCTCTGATGGTTTATAACAATTTCTTCCACTTTTTCCATGTTTTTATCGGTTGTTAATGTGCTTGTGCGTTCGGGGTGTTCGTCATCTTCAACGTCTTCACGGCCATCTTGGAAACTCTTATATAAGATGGTATATACCACTTGTAAACTCTTGTTTTACTTATAGCAGATTCACTATAGGCCTTTGTTAACATTTCACAAAATTTATTTAATTTTTTAAGCAAAATTGGATACAAATTCTTTGATCCATTTCTTTTAACGAACGAAAAATCGCCGAGCTCATAAAACACGTCTAACCTTTGCGGCTGCCACAGACAAAGTAAACAATGAAAACAGCTAAAGTTTTTATCATACTTCTGGGGCATGTATACCAACATAATAAAGATAATTTTATGACAACCGGACCCTCCGAACCTGCGAAATTTAACAATTCCCGTTCTTTTCTGAACACACCTCGTACTTAGTCATTATTTTAATCATTGTTTTAATCATTGTTTTAATAAAACAACCAACAAATGTTACAAGGGTAGATACCTCAGATATTGCTTGAAAGTTTCGTTTTTTGCTTTAAATTAGTCATATTAAATAAACTGTGTCATTCCCTATCGTTTCAAGTTGAAACGATAGGGAATGACACAGTTTATTTAATATGACTAATTTAAAGCAAAAAACGGGTATTTTCTGTCGTTCTGCAGCATTAAATTATAATGTTGACGTGACGGATGGCCGTTCCGCGATAAGTTTTCCGGCGTTGCATATATAGAATTAAAATAAAGACGAGCCGCAAATGCGAATGTAAACTTGGAGAATGTTGAGATGGTATCTTGTATGTTGACAGCAAAATTAGTGCATGGTGCCAACATACTAAATAAGTAACATAAATTAGTGAGACTGTAGTGTTTAAGCTCGCCTCTAGGATTCATAATTCACGTCGTGTAATAGCCTTGCGCTCCATTTGATTAAATTTTATCTAAATGGAACTAACCCCAAATGTAAGACTGTTTATGTATTTTTTTTTGCCAAAATATACCGAATGCAGTTTTTTCAACACCTAAATTCCTGATAAACACGACGCGACGTCTACATTGCAATGAGGCGCATTTTGCGTCAAAATTATTTTAGGCCAAAATAGATAAAAATTTCATACATACACTCCCCGACAAAAAAAACGGCACCTAAATTTTTTTGACAATTTTGACATGACAAACTTTTTTATTTTTAATTTAATTGCATTGATTTTTTCGCTGGACGATAAATCAATTTATGAAGATTGCGTTGCAGTTTGTCCTGATAAAGTTTTGGTTGCTGTTTTTAGTCGTAAGTTTAAAACGCCCTGTGTGCAAATCTACCTTATTCCAAACTGATTTACGATAAATCTGGATGTGATCCGAGTATTTTGTTTTTTATATCATTTGACCACCTCTTTTCTTTTACGAGCTACGCATTTTTAAATAAAACGCTGCATTTTTTCAATGTCAATCAAGCTATACGCTAAAGAAGTATCGCTAGTAGCGCCACCACTCGGCCGTTATCATCGTAACAAAAGTACAACTTTTAATAATCAGCTTATGTTACAAACGAATGTTTTTGAGAATAAAGCCGGAAAATGTTAAAATAAATTGAAAAAAAATTGCATATAGGGTGAAGTGGGGTAAGTGCGCTTTTGGGGTAAGTGCACCAATTGGGTTTAAAGAAAAAAACTATTCAACCTGCGGTGGCACCCTCTGGTAAGTGCGAGGGCATGACTCTTTTTCACTAAAATACACATCCCTTCTTTACCGACATCAAATTGGTTAACAAAGAATGGCGACTTGATTGAGTGTTGTCGTTTTTACTCGCGTGTTAAATGCGCAGTTCTGTAAAAAAACATTTATTACTGGATCTAAGGTATGTGTAAAGCTACTAGATATTTATTTTGAAATTTTAGATGTGTTTTAAGTAAACTAATATGCAAAATTACCTTTATTGTAAAATAAGCTAACTTTGAAGGGGTAGGTGCTCTTGCCCCAACAACAACAACAACAAGTGAGCACGTGTAAAGTGTGTGAATTTTTTTGTAAATATTTTAAAGGTAAGATTTTTTTGCGTACACTTTTGGTGTCTTTTACAAAACGCTACATAAAACTCTTGTTTTAGAAGTTAACTTTTTTATTTTCATTTTGTATTATAGCATAGTAGAAATTCCAAACAAATGCCGAAAGATATTTACATTTAACAGTATTTCTGAAAAATAACGTTTGAAAAAGTCAAAAGCAATGTGTCATAAAACGTTCAGGAAGATGCGTTAGGAGGAGGACAATGTTTAATTTCTTCCTTGTGTTCCTTCCCTATTTCAGATTAACCCTATAAGTTTTATTTCTTTAAAGTTTATTTTTGTTATTTATAAACTTATAGAACTCTTTTGCAGTACATTACTCTGTTCTATCACAAAGGAAAAAAAATCGATCAAATTGACCTGCCTGGACAAAATATATATACAAAATGTACATTTAACGAAAATTCGCCCAGGTACCCAGTGCTGCCAATTGTGGGTATTTTACCCGAAAAGCGGGTAATTTTATACAGCGTGCGGGTAAAAGTTTGAAGCGGGTAAAACCGGGTATTTTTCGGAAAATTTTAGTAAAACAACTTTAAATGAAGAAATATAGAAACAAAGAATTGATCTTATGCAACTCAACATACGCAGCCAACTCAAAGGTCATTCACCGGTGCCAGACATGCGGCATTCGGCGAGTACCGAGCGACTGCTCGCCGAATGCCGTGTAGTGTGGACGGGTTCGTCCACATCCACATCTGTGGTTTCGTCGCTACTTGCCGATGACAAATTTTGATACAGTATCATTTATACTATAATCATTATTATAATTTATAAGTGGGGCATTCCACGTTACTCGGTAATTTTTGTCCCGCCCGTCACAATTAAAAATTGTGAGTAAAAACCACAAGTTATAAAATTAATATTTTATAATTATATTTTTATTGTGTAACTTATTAAAAGCATAATAAAACAATATTTTTAAATAAATTTTATAACGTGTAGTTTT